CTATCAGTGTAGTGAATGTTGCAACGCAAAGCAATGCAGATGCCCCTATTATTTATACGGCAACATTTTAATTTTAGTTATTTTTACCTTACCCGGGCCTTTCCGTGTGTGATTATCACTGGCATATTAGAGGAAAGCCCTCTATTACGAGGCAGCAGATTTTCAACACCCAAATTCAAACACAAATCTATTTCCGCGACGATTACACAATCTAACGATGAACGCCTTAATTTTCTTTTCTAATATGTAAAAACTCATCCTAATTTATTCCATATCTTGTTTATCTGTTCTTCAGACATTTGTAGGCGCTCTCGTAAGTTTGGGTCGTTTCCATGCTTATTGAAATTCTTGATTTCTTGACTGGCGTCACTAAGCTGCTATTTAATTGTTCTAACAATGAATTTTCCACTAAACAGAATTCGTGGCGGAATCAACAGACGATGCTATTAATTTGACAAAAACTCCCGCTATCCCATATTAGGCGCCTATTTAATAATAAAGGACTTTCCTCTGCTATCTCTCGTATGGAAAGTAAAACGTTAAGAATATACATATATATTACATGCTGAAATGGCATTTGTTAGGATGCAACATGCACTTTTCTTAAGTAGACTGAACCGCTAGGCGGGGCTCACCGTCGTTGTTGGTCCGCGCGCGAGGTGGAGACGAGCTGACGGTTGGAAAATTTCTGGAGACGTTATCCCGCGGTGGCGGCTGCGGTCCTTCGAGATTTGGACTGGGGCTGAATTCGGCCCTGAAGTCCGCCCTGTCGAAACCTTCCTCCAACTCGTGCATCAGCGCGTACTCGTCCGACTCGACCTCGCCCTCGAATTGCTCTCGCAACACCGACCTCGGCACTGGAATGGAAAAAGAGAGTTCGAAGTCTACTCGCTGTGTAATGGACTCCATCAGCGACACATCAAATATACATAGAGGAACGTCGTTTTGTACAAGATTGCCGATATAAGGAAAGAATCCGCCGACGACGAGAGTCGCGATAAAATCATTTTCGCGTCGGTATTGGTTTCCGTTAAAAGCCCGCGATTGGCGGAAATTTGAGACGAGGCAAGTGATGCATGTTTCATGAGCAAAAAATTTATGTGGAGTGAAAAGAAAGCTCCGAATACAACTGCACTTTTTCGCTCGTAATTATTTCATCGAACCCGAGTGTACGAAATTTCGCGTTTTACGCGGCATCGCGGACGGATGCTGCGACGAGATTTTCTTCAGCGGCTCATTTATACGAGCGCAGATGCGGGAAATGCGGGATCATTCGATCGTTTGATGTGCATCTTGGCCCCTCAAGAATTCTCGTAGCATTCTGTTCCGCGTATTCAACGCGCATCGCATTTGCCAAGTTTTGCACGAATTTACGCGATGGCTTCCAGACCGCCTGTTCTAAATGCACGTAAGGGTCTGGATAAGCGCCGATCGGATCAAATGTAAACGTTATGCGCGATGGCAAATAAATCCACTTCAAGATGTGCGAGTGCGGCGGCTAATACCCGTCAGTAATAACGTTGCATCTGCACGCGCTTGCGCGCGCGCACGTTGTGTATCGAATCGGAATGAAATGCTGCCGATCGCTGTAAGTGATACGCAATCGTTATCGTGCTTACACGGTACTGCCCATTTTTCATTGCACGTGCGTCGCCGCGCTTGCAATAAACCTCGCGCCCCGTTAGGAGTATGCGCTCGTGTATTCGCGACATGAAATAGTTTCGTTACACGGGGCGATCGCGAAATAACGATAGTTTCCAGGTAAAATGTGGAGATATATCGTGATATTTTGAGAAACGATTGAGAGCTCGAGAATTTTACGAGTGGTAATCGCGGATCACGATCGCGGAATCATGTATCTGCGTACCCAAAAGCAGCGCATCGCGATCAAAGCGATAGCTCTTAATCACGCTTTATTTCGATGGGAACTTAAATGTACCTTCAACTTTTATGACTGCGCCATTTTTACAATTTTAGAATATAGAAATTTTTGTCCATAGAATTATTGTCCATTGTTTCTATAAAAATAGAAACTAAAAGCTCGACATTTAAAATTTTTCCTCAGCCTCATATCCTTGTTTTCTTTTCTCTTCGACTGAAACTT